CGCTCCTAAGCACGGTGATGTCTCTTCACCTTGTCCCCTGCTCCAGCCCAGTGCTGGGAGGTGTCTGCCGGTGTCGGTGTCAACAGTGAACATGTCTCCCACTCCCCGTGGGGCGGGGGCGGGGCCTGGGCACTGCACGACCCACAGCCCTGACTCAGGGCTTTGCAGGGTTGAGATCAGAGGAAAGTAAACAACATAAATGCAAACCAGGCAGATGCTGAACTGTGTACAGAAAAGGCCATGACAACAAACCTCAGAGTCCCATGTGGACGGACAAGTGTGGACCTGACTCATGCTCATCTGGGAAGGCAACCACCACATTTTGTGAAAATACTGTTATGTTTGTTTCCTTTTCTGTTTTCACTAGAGGCCCGATGCACGAAATTCGTGAAGAGCAGGCCTGCCTTCCCCCGGCTGCCAGCACCAGCTTCCCTCTGGCACCCGGGACCGGGGCTTCCCTTGCCGTCCTGGCTTCGTCCGGAAGGATGTCTGGTCTACTTAGCATATTATGCTTTTATTATTATAGATTGCTCTCAGACAGAAAGGGAGAGGGAGAGAGAGATAGAAACATCAATGATGAGAATCAGTGGGGGTATGCTTCCTGCATCACCCCACTCTGGGGATGGAGCCCACAACCTGGATATGTGCCCTGACTGGGAATTGAACTGTGACCTCGTGGTTCATAGGTCAACGCTCAACCACTGAGCCACGCTGGCTGGGCTGTTATGATATTTTAATAGCATTTCACTCGTAAAGGGTTTGGTGGCTAATTTCTGCTGAAAAGCTGACCCGATCCCCATCTGACTCCAGGACAGGAGGAGGAGATGAATGAGAGCCGACACCAGCGCCTCGGACCCAGGGGCAGGTGCGGTGCGAGCTGGGCCAGCCCAGCTGCAGGAACCACATGATCCAGATTTCCCGAGGAGCAGTTCTGGGCACAGCTGCGAGCGGACAGCCTCACAGAGCAGCACTGAAGCTGCAGCAAAGGAGGCACTTTGTGCTCTTCCAAAGCTGGTCTCTGGGGAAACGAGGTGCAGGCAGGGAGTGGGGAGCTTCTCGGTATCTTGAAAACCAGAAAGAACAAACAATGGCAGCAGGACCCCAACACTCTCAACGAAGTGCGCCCACATTCTTATGTACGTGAGAGTAATCCCACTGCCTCTGCAAGGAGGGCCCATGCCCTGGGAGCGCTGCGTGTCGCTCACTCTGGGGTGCCGTCTACCAGACGTACCAGTTAATAATGCAGATTTCTTTTCAATAGATGGAGTTACACATATGGTGATATATATGTGATCTGATATGTATGCTATTTTCTTTTGACAACAAGCTTCAAAACTTCATGTCAAATTTGCTGAAGGTGTTAACATCATAGATATTTTTACGCTTACAAATGTCAAATTTTGTGCCAAAAAAGAGCATTTGTGGTAAGTTTTAATTCATTATTTTGAAGAAAAGTGCTGCTGAAAGTGATCGTACACTTCAGGAAGCTTATGGTGAACATGCTCTATCTCAAGATACTTGTGAGCGCTGGTTTAAACGCTTTAAAAGTGATGATTTCGATGTGAAAGACAAAGAACATCCAGGTCAACTGGAAAAGTTTGAAGCCCAACAATTACAAGCATTATTGGAGGAAGATGTATGTCAAACTCAAAAACAACTTGCAGAAAGATGAAACGTTGCTCAGCAAACAATTCCCGATCGCTTACAAGCAATGGGAAAGATGTTAAAGGAAGGAAAATGGGTGCCACATCAACTGAACGAAAGACAAATGGAAAACCGAAAAGTCATCAGTAAAATGTTGCTTCAACGGCACGAAAGTCTTTTTTGCATCGAATTGTGACTGGCGATGAAAGTGGGTTTATTTTGAGAATCCCAAATGCACAGAATCATGGGTTGATCCAGGCCAACCATCAACATCGACTGCAAGGCCAAACCGCTTCGGAAAGAAGACACTGCTCTGCGTTTGGTGGGATCAGGAAGGTCTGGTGAATTATGAGCTTCTAACACCAGGTGAAACTGTTAATACTGATCGCTACCGACAACAAATCATCAATGTGAACCACGCTTTGATCGTGAAACGACCAGAATGTGCCAGAAGGCACGGCAAAGTAATTTTGCTTCATGATGACGCACCATCACACACTTCAAAACCAGTTAAAGACACGTTAAAAGATCTTGCATGGGAAGTATGAACCCACCCGCCGTATTCACCAGACCTTGCTCCTTCAGGTGACCACTTGTTCCGATCGATGGCACACGCACTTTCTGAGCAGCACTTCCAAACGTACGAAGAAGTAGAAAATTGGGTCTCTGAATGGTTTGCCTCAAAACAAGAAAAGTTCTATTGGGGCGGTATCCACAAATTCCCTGAAAGATGGGGGAAATGTGTAGCTAGCGATGGACATTACTTTGAAGAAAGCACTTTTGATGTTTCTCTTGAAATGATCGTGTTTCTTTGATTACAAGACCCGCCGTTATTAACCGGTACACCTAGTCTATATATATAAAAGCCTAAGCGACCATCACAACCGAACAGACGACTGAACAGGATGCGTGGGGTTAGTGAGGGGCGACCAAATGACTGAGCAGCAGGCTGCGTGGGG